TTGAGAGTCAATGCGATGTCTCTGCGTTTGAGTGTCTTCCCTGGATCCCACGTGCTCATCTCTCTGTCTCCTGCCATCAAAAGGTGTCGAAGGACATTGTGTCTGCAGGCTACAGATAGGGAAATAATGAGATAAGCTCAGTGTTGGGTGTTCGGTCCACGTTAAACATAGCTTTATAAGGTACACTGCATATCTAGAATGCATGAAGAGGTATTAAAATAGCTAGTTAGGGTATGCGATAGTGTACAACAGAATATGGAATTACGTCGGAAAGCATCTAAATATAGATGATTGTTTCCACGCTGCACAGAAAAGGCAAGGGACCAGATTAGCTCGTGTCGACTATTAGTCGACTAGGGAAATCATCATCATCATTAAATTGCACATTTAATGACAGGTTAAGTTAGACATTTAAGGGAGATCTTTTGGGCCGTTCGGCCTTCTTTAGAGAGACCGTAAAAATAAAAACCCCACTGTAATATGTTACTGGCCTGGATGGGCTCAGTGGCTTGCTGTGCACCGCCCTACGAACCCGGCGAAACTGAGTTCGATCCCCGGCCCTGGCCAAATGTTAGCCGTGAGAGTTATATCTGAACCGGTCCTTGGTTCCGCATCAACATCATCATCATCGTCGTCATCACCAACCCGCACTGACCAGCATGGTGAAGGATGGTCAAATAAATATGGCATGCAGAGGGCCTTCCTGCAGCAGGGGATTGATAAAGGTGCTGCAGAGAGATACGTTCGCCGATATAGCTACTTGGTAGCGTGGGAACGCATCACGCTACTCAGCCTGCTTAGCTGTGCAGAGCAGGGAGCAGGAGTTGACGAGAGCGTTCGTAAGAGCAATGCTCAGCTGGTCTTGTGTTGTAGCACAAGAGGGCGGTCATTGTTTAATTGCTTCATGCATACGACGATGACATCGAGGGTTTTAGCAGCAGGGCCGTGAGAGGCACGATTTTGATGGAGGTCGAGTGAGCAGTTCGATTGATCGAAGATCAGTTTGGTTGATCGACATCGACAAAGATCCGTGCGAATACGTCCGCCACCTACTTGCCGCGCTGACTTCCATCGGACTCCCGTGAGAAATGTGTCATAAAACGCTGTTGTTCACGTTGCGTAAGTGTGCGTGCCATAAGGTTGATGATGCTAAACAGCGGTCGGATAAGGCTGTTGCAAGAGGTGCGTACTGTTCGCGAGCACCTTTTATGGTGAGAGTGAACCAGTTGATGCCGGCCTCATGCACCAACGAAAATCGTTATCGCGTCCTTGTCTGGGGCATCCCTTAGATTGACTCAGACTCAACAAAATGTTGATATTTTTCTGGTGACACTCGATCAACAACAACGCGATTGAATGTGGAGGAGAATACGGGTCAAGCAAATGTGGGGCTGGTCACCCCCGCATCAGCATTAATAGGTGCTCGCAAACACGAATCGCGTTGACTGCGTTCGCGCGCTTAAAAATACACATCTGGGTCACCGTTCGTCGGCACTTCTGTGGGCCACCGAAGGAACCCCGGAGAGAGATCTTGGTGGTCATGTCCCGACATCGCTGTGCCACGACTTCACGTTCCGCATTTGCGATGCGCGCGGCTGTTATTGTCGCTGCTATTTATAAAACGCGATGCATAGGGAGCGTCTGTGTCAGCCCAATTTTTTCTGACCAGCTCCCCTACTCGCTCAGTGTATAAATACAACTGAGCAATGAGGGACAGGTCTTGCTGGACAGGGAGTAAATTTGGAGTTTTGGGTAGGGGACGATGGTGGTGGTGGGGGTGTGAGAGGGATGATGCCTCACCCGGATCCGCGGTCCTTCCCCTACACCTGCCACGATCTCTCCCCCCACCCCACCACCCTCTCCACTTTCCACAGTGGAACCAGCAGCGCCGTTGACTGACGTCGTCTCAGATCGAGAGAGGGGCGCGGGATGGTGGGGGAGGGTCGGAGGGAGGGGCGGGAGACAAACGATGCAGGGGGCGGGCACGGCAGAGCGCGCGTTGATCGCAACCTCGACGAAGGATCGACAGAATGTGTGACCGGACAATGCGTTTTGTCTTTCGTGCATTCTCCTCCGGCTCCTCGGCCGCATTTGGCAAAGGCGGAAACGAGGCCCATCGCGTGGCCGTGCTCATTGTAAGCAGAGGGCCCGCCACTCGTGTTCAACATCGTGCCAACTTTGTTTTCTACTTCACTGTAAGAATTTGCAATGGGTGGCTGATCCTTCAAAGGAGGGAGGGGGCTGGGGGAGGGAGGGGGGGGCTCAACCACTCTGATGCTACGGTGATCGTTCAGTGGGGTGAGGGGGGGAAGGGAGAGTGGGGTGGAGGTAGCGGGGGGGGGGGCTTAGCCCCCCTGATTTTACGCGGCTGAGTTGAACTATGGCAGCCCAGGTCGGGGTTGGGCCGGGTCAGTCTCGCTCGCATTGGAGTTTCGCGAGGATTGCCGTTTGGGGATGAGTGGACGAAACGAGATGCCATGTGGAGTTTGGGGGTGGGGGATGGTTCGGAGGGGGTGAGTTTGAGGATCTGCACGGCTAGGGAGGGGAGGGCGCAGTGAAATCCGATCTCTCGTGCGCAGCTGCGATTTTACCCCCCCCCCCCACGCGTTAAAACGTCGGCCTTCCCCGCACGCACCTGTCCTTGATGCCCGCTCCGTCTCGTCAACTTTGCGGGCCCTGATTAATGCCCCGGGTGTCTGGGCGCCGTGCGAATCGTCACAGCGGCGCGCCACGTGCAGCCGCGTACGCTGAAATAACCCGGGGATGTTCAGGGCGCGAAGCGGGGAGAATGTGGCGACAGGGAGTACAGGGGGTGATCAGTGCGTGCCTCCAGCGGTCTGGCCATCCCAGTCAGAATAATCAGAATCTTTATTTAGACTGGAGAAATCCGATGAGCTACAAAGCTTTTTTTTACAGATGTCCAGTTAGGGCGGATCAGAAAGTTACAACAACAAACAATATATATATATAAAAAAACGATAGGAAGTGCAAAGTATGGAAAAGGTAAGCAAATCAGAATAAACTACACTAATCTTTTTTTATTTAGCAGGTAAGGCCCACTGAGCCATTCGCTTATTTTTCTGCAGCGATCTGGCCACAAAAATGCCCGGAGAAAAACCACGCATGCTATGGGATAACACTTCTAAGTTGGCGCTAGATGAGTCACACACACCCACACACGTGTGTGCTGCCACCTCTTGTCCACCTTTGTATATCTTAAAGGCGATCGCGGTGATAATAATGATGATGGTATTTGGTGACAATTGGGCATGGCTCGTTGTGCGGTCCGACGCGACAAACGCTTGTAACATTATCCGACGAGCGCGTGTCCCACTGACAGCTTTCGCAAGGACGGGTCGCGCAGTGTGTGTGCGGGGTTTGGGGGTGGGGGTGGCTACCTCTTTTGATTGACCCCGACCTGAATGACTTCCCAGAATAGGCCCTAATAAATAAACCTCAAATATCACTCGCGCAGGTATTCAGCCGTGGCGACGCGACTGGTCGACCGCTTGCGGCATCGTGCGGTTTCATCTTTCTCTGGAGGTCATTATTCATGCTCGGTGTTTGCCGCAGCGGAGCTTCGAACAATTGTGCGTGGCGATTTAAAAAAATATATATTTTATAAGTGAGAAAGATGCCCGCAAAGTCTCCCAATTGTCTCCAGGAATTCTGCGGACAAACTGGGGGCCGTGCTATTTGCTCGTAAATAAAGGTTGTTGTTGTTGTTGTTGTTTTTTTTGTTGGGTTAGATCGCGTAAATATATAAACATGTCGTAAAACCCGCCACCACCCGACACAGCGAATTAGTAAGATTTGTGCGGTAAACAAGACGTGCCAATTAATCACAACTTCAGCACACCGGTGTGTTGGAGAGTAAACCCACAATAATTATAATTCGAGTACAACGCACTGCTGCTGATTACAATGTTCAGCGTCATCAAGCGATATCCAGAATTATATTTACGCGATCTAAACAACCCCTTTATTATGGATACAATTGGTCGCAAAAGCCTATATATTAAAATCCTATTTACCGTTGCACATTTCGTTCGACGCAATCAAACCTACACGGATTCTCTTGATGCAATATAAGTTATAACTATAGGGACACAGTCTTAACAACGTAAAAATAATACCCCATCAACGGCCAACTATGCCGTACGTTAAACTTCTTTCGCAACGGACGTAGTCAACCGTGCTAATCGGAGGTGCGGGGGAATTGACCACAAACGAAACAACATCAAACATTTCTAAAAAAAGATCTCGATTGCAAAGTGCATTGCTCCAGTGGACGATCCTGTCATCCGCGTACTTAGCCGGGGCATCACGGCGCCGTCTCCTGCTGTGTGCAACACCCTCCGTTTGCGTCCCAGTCTGCTCATAGGGCAGTCCTGCTCCACAACACGCGTCACGGCGTGCATGTGTCCACTATTATACATTGGGGATATCCCGCGTGCCCCTAGCTGGCCCTCGGTGGCTCCACAATCACCAGTTCAGTGGAGATCAAAATGGTGACTCCGTGTCCCCCGAGTCGATCGCGGTGTCTCCGTGTTGCCGTGTCACTGTGAACTTATGTTTCTGTATTTCCATAGCCTTCTATCCCTGTGTGTCCATGTCCCCATGTTTCTGTTTCCCCATGACTCCATGCCCCTGCGATCACCTGGCCATGTTCCTCTGCCTCTGCCTCTCAGTGTCCCCGTGTCCCCATCATCCCATTGTTTCTGCATCTCCGTGTCTTAATTTCCACGTGTCCCCGTGTCTCCATATATCACCGCGTTCCTGTGTCTCCGCCTCGCCTGTCTCCATTGTCCGGTGCAAACCCGGTTCTTTTCCACGGGATGATAAGTGGCTGCTGGGCGGTTGTGGGGTCATTGTCGACTAATATGGGTCGTTACTGTTAACGCGGCCCGTTCTGCCCGCCACTGCAATGCTAAATGATAGCACGTGCCATTGATAAATCGTGAAATTCACGGCGCTTGTTTTTTTTGTCTCGCTCGCAGACTCAGCCGCCGACCATGTCCGAGGAGGAAGTTTATGAGGAGGAGGTCGAGTAAGTGCACCACTTGATATCGCACCACTGTCACTTTCTCACTTCCAAGCAGAGTTTCGAACAATTTTCAGCCATTTGTCAATCCACCGTTCAATGAGGGCTTCCCCCAAAGCGCGTCGCTCACGTGGGGTTATTTCACTATACTTCACCACTCTTGTCAGCACGGATCGGTGGGGGGGAGGAGGGGGCGCAGGGGACACTGGCCACTGATGTTGGTCGTGGTCTGGAAGCGAATTCAGATCGCCACGTGTACAGTTTGTTGTCCTTTCCACGCACCTCCGATTAGCACGGTTGGCTACGTACGGTGCGATAGAAGTTCAACATGCGTACATACATTGCGCAGTGGACGAACCATCGACACCGTCGTAGTATAACAAAAACAGCGACATTTTTGTTTTTTTACCCTTAATTTGGTAACGAATCCACTGAATACGTGCTACATTCCAGCTTTCTAAGCCCCTATAGAACTTCTTCAGACGCTTCATCACTCGTGTGTGAGCCGTGTGTGAGAGCTGTGTGTGTATGTGCAGTGAACATTGTAGCGCAATCAATGACTGTAACAATATCCACAATTATGACCAGCAGATACACACGCACAGCAGATGTGCCTCAAAGTTGACACTGGGCCCTGCTCTCGATATAATTGATGACTCCCAATCTACACTGAATGGCATTGCTTCCATGTAACATTTCGCAACTATTCCATATCGCTCAGGGCTGAGCGCGTTATTTTATCTTGTCAACTATGAATGCAACTAGTTTATTAACTTAACACGTGTAGGCAATATTTTTATATATATAAAAAAGCGGTGCAGTGGCGCAGTGATGATCTGGGTTCGATTCCCGACCATGGCCAACGTGAGTCAACGAGAGTTTGATCTGAATCGGTCCCGGGTCTCCCAACTTCACCAAGCAGCACTTACCAGCATGATGAGGAATGTTCAAACAAAGCCCACGGCACCTCACGGTGTGCGGAGGTCTTCATCCAGCAGTGGAATTAGAAAGGGGGGGGGGGCTGTACATGCACACACGTGTATAATCCGTCTTTGTTGTCTCTAATTGTGTGTTCTGTCGTGTGTTTCTCCTTCTTCTCGTTTTGACAGGGAGCAGGAAGGTAATGTCACGGCATCGCAGACGCATGGGCGAGGGAGCGTGGGCACACTCACTGATGCCAGGCTGATGCCAGGCTGATGGCAGGCTGATGGCAGGCTGATGGCAAGCTAATGCCAGGCTGATACCAGGCTGATGCCAGGCTGATACCAGGCTGCACTGGTCAAACCTGGTCCTCAGATCTTGACCGCGATCGTGTATACGAATACAACTCCATAGCTAACAACACCTCCCCTGTGAAACTATGAGGAATCCCAATTGCCTCTTGCTAAGGGGTGACACCGTGCATCGATCTGTCGATTAATAATATTAATAACTGTGTAAGCCCATGAGACACACACACTCACACACGCGCGCGTTTGTCCCCCTCCCCCCTCTCCAGAATCCTCACACGCGTGTACCACCTATTGCACACGCAGACACTAAAACGCACATAGACACACACACACGCGCGCGCGCGCGTCTCTCACGCCACGATTCTCGCGTATCGGCGTAACCAAAGGCGTTCGCTCCTCTCAACACGCGGACCACGCGCGCGTGTTCCGCGCCGCCGACGATGCCGCTCGGAGTCGAGGGGCGGGGGGGGGGGCAGCGCGCCACCTGCGGCGTCTGGCGTCGCTTCATCATCGCGCGCGTCCCACCACCACCACCACCACCCAAGCCCCCGCCGGCATTGCCAGCTTGCCGCGCTGCCCTCCTGCGCACAACATCGCTGCTGCTGCTGCTGGCGCCTGTCGGATGGCCGTCGCTTACTGGCAGAGACCGGCTGAGTGTCTCGCTCACCGACAGATTTGCCGTCGCGTTACATTTGCATTTGCTGAGCTGCGGACGATCGAACTGGGTAACGAGTGGACCTATTGACGTGCTGCTGATCCACTAATTTGGTGCAATGGTTGGCCAACCCAGCGAATGGCTGGCGGAATTAAAGAATGCTTGATTTGCTGATCATCCAACAGGCTCCGTGGTGGACTCCCTAACTTGCTGACTGGCGGATTAACCGAATGACTGGGTGACAGGTGGACTTACTGACGTGTTGACCCATTGGCTTGGCGGATGGCAGACTGACTGAAAGATTTGCTGACATACTGGCCGTTTAAAGGGCCTTCTGACTTGTTAACTCACTCAACTATCCGAGTTGTAGAGGCGCGGCGTTGAGCGATTTGCTGACCCCAATCCCTGGCCAATTGCCTCACTGGCTGACTGACTGGCATGGTGACTGACTGACTGGCTGACTGACTGGCTTGCTGACTGGCTTGCTGACTGGCTTGCTGACTGGCTTGCTTCTGGCGGGCTGCTTATCTCCTTTGCTTCCTCCGGGCGCTTCCTAGAAGAAGCTGAAGAGGAGCCAGAACCGGAGGCAGAGGAGGAGGAGGAGGCGGAGGAGGAGGAGGTGGAGGAAGGTAACAACGGAGATCGTAATGGTGTCTATGAAGACCAAACCTAGCACAGTCGTTTTGCATGTCGAAGCGCACAAGCACGTGTGTGTGTACTGGTACACACACACACGCGTGGTACACACACTCACGTGTGTGTACATGTACGCACGCATGTGCTGTGCATATGCGCAGAATTCCGAAAACACTGTCGGTTCTCTGTGGACGATTATATCTCAGTGCAATCTATCTGCAGATATACTTTCTCCATGCGAACCGCGATTTTCCCTTTTACGTTTGACTGGTTGATTTTATCCACGAGCGCACACTGCTTCCTATTTTCCTACTCTGGATACCAAATGAATTCATTTTTTGTCGTTGTAAAAAAAATGAATATCTCCATTCGTTCCTCCTACCTTCCTTTGCGTTACGACGTTTCGTGTCAAATCCTCCTGCCCCTTGTCTCCCTTTTCTACTCCTGCTGCCTGCATGTTGCTGCCTTTTCGTGTGCTCGGCTCGTCTCGTCTCACTGTGACCTGAGTGGCACGGGCGGTGCAACTGTGGCCGGGTCCTCCGCGAACCCTAGGGGCCCCAGGTGCTGGGGGGCGGTGACATCGAAGAGGGCCCATGCCAATCAGTGAGGTTTGGCACGTTAACAAAACGTGCCAATTAGTTACTACTTGAGTGCACCGGTGTGTTAAGCAGTACACCCACAACGTTTGCAATTTGGGTGGCTGTGACGTTTCGCTGATGAGTACAACCAGTTTCATCAGGCGATTTGTCAGAATTGACAAACCTTACCAATCGGCTGTGTCGGGTGGTGGTGGGTTAACGACACAATTATATCTGCGCGATCTAACCCATTGAGCCTCTATTATGAATCCTATCGGTTCATAATAGAGGCTCAATTGGCCCATGCCAATCACCATTTTTTCGCCTCTGCCCTCTCTGATGCATCCTCGCCTGGCTTTTGGCAAAGCCGAGAGCCGTTTTCCTTCGCGAACGAACGTCGTTCAAGAGGACGGTGAGAAGGCCGAGTTGATGGGGGCGACCGTAGCGGGCCTGGCTATTAACTGGAGGGCAATGCGTGGACAGCTGCTGCTGCCACTGCTGCCGCGTAGATTTGTCGCCAACCGCAGTTGTTGGATGTTCCGGCAAGAATGCGGTGGCTTAACTCTCGTGTGCTTCCCCCCCCTTCCGCTCCCCAGGGTTAATCCACGGCCATGCAGGCACAGCAGATTTATGCACTCGCTCGCTCACTCACGCACGCACGCACGCGCGAGTTAAATACAAAGATCCGAATTTAGCCGCGCATAATTTGGACGCGAATTGCTGGTAGAGAGCGCCTCTTAAGGCGAGCTCTGTACCCCACCGCCTTTGTCTCCCCCAGTGGTGATGTTAAAACACCGCTCTAGGTAACTCACTTGAGGCTGAGTCGACCTAGGTGGGGGCCTGGGATGGGTTAAGATTCAAAGTGGTTGGGAATCGAACCCAGGTCAGCGGCTTCAAAAAGCAGTCGTAAAGCACCTCTTTGGGTGGCCAGCACCAGGCCCGGCCGCCTTTGTCTCCTTAGTGGCGATGCTGACACAATATACCAGGTGCTCATTTGATGCTAAGTCGACCTAGGGGAGGCCAAGGACACGGCTCAGAAAATCATTGCCGGGTTCGTAGCGCTGCCCGCTCACCACTCGACTACCGTTGCCCACACACAAACTGTCCAACACTTGGAACAGAGCTGGGGGTGGGGGGGGTGGAATCAGTGCCCCTGGACCAGACACGTGTCCGCAATGGGCACGTCCGTGCCGGTGGCGACGATCACGATGGCTTACAGCACCTTGACCAGACTTCTCATTTCAGGAATGATGTACAAGGGTCGCCTCTTTTGCCCGTTGTTTTTCACTCACGACCCCACCAGCAGTCGCCCTCACCACCACGGGAATGGAGGGGGGGCGGTGCGGGTGTGTGTGTGTGTGAATCACGCTGACGCTTCTACGCTTGTTATTTTTTCGTCTTTGTGTTATGCTCCCGACGCTGTGCATTCGCTTCACACTGAACCCAGCCGAGGAAGAAGGTACGGTGCAGCAGTTGTAGCCTCAATATCTCTGCCCTCGTGGTCACGCGCTGCGTCGCCCTTTAAATTCATGTTGTTCCCGTATTTCGTATGTTCCCGTCCACCGTACATGTTTTTTTTCTCAAGAATTATCCCTTAACAGTATTATTGTGCTATGGAGAAGGGTCATTCCCCGAAACGTCACCTATTATCATTTTTTTTTACTTTTAAGGCCACCACCGGCTTTACCATCACAAAGGGTCTACTCAAATATATCGCTGTTGCTCTCATCTGTATCGTTGTGAAATTGCTCTGCATTGCGCTAACGGGTTGTCGTTTGCACGCGGCGATAACGACTCTTGCCATTGCAGAAGCCGTTCCCTGACATGTTGTGTCTAACTGTGCTCGGCTCTGTTTTAATTCACATTCTTCTTCGTTTTGCAGCTTACCGCACACACTCGCTGTTCGCAATCTGTTTCCCGATGTTTGCTGCCACCTGTTAAGCCCCACGCTCGTGATGAGAAAACATTCTGGGCGCAGCAGGCGCAAGCGCGCAACACACGTGCACGATTGAGTACACAAACGCACCCCGACACGTGCGCACAATGACAGTAATCCCCCATACAGCCCTAACGTACTGCTGGGGCAAGTGCTGTTCGCGAGTAGCACCTCTGAAGGCCGGTACGGCACACGAGGGGGTGGGTTTCCAGCAACCACGCCCGACTGCCTTTGTCTCCCGAGTGGAAATATTTACATACTGCACCAGGCACTTATTTGAGGCTGAGTCGACCTAGGGGAGGCCCAGGACAGGTTCAGATAGTCGTCCCTGGTGTCGGTGGGCGTGAGCGACAATCGAACTGGAGTCGCCGGGTCCGTAGCGCAGCGCTAACTGCTGCACTACCGCTCCACCCACGTTAACGCGCAAACGCACACACACACACACGTGCAGGCGTACACACGCACACACATACACGTGTACATTCACAATATCTACACTCTTCCAGACACGCGCACACATATGTACGAACGTACACGTAAAGGCGAACGCACACGCGTACACACGCACGTACAAATGTGTACCTGCTGTCCCAAATGAAATCGCTGCTCATCCGCACGCCAAGATCGGAGAGGTAATTAATGTCACCATCACTGTATAATCGTTACTATTTATCCTCGTTATTAACAAATGTTCCTTTTCTTATTTTCTCCTCCATGATCGTGGGTGCCACTCAACTTACGTCGTCGCCGATGCAGGTACGTGCAGCGATGCCTCCCACGTGTTCCAACACTTTCATGATTTCGATTTAAAGCTTTCGTGACTGCAAGGATTCATCTTCTTTGGTTCTTTCGGTAAAGTCACGTAGAATGAGAATAAAATAATAAAATAAAATAAGACAATACAATTATCACGACGTTTCGGCCACAACACAAGTAGCTTTCTTCAGGTGAAGGAACAAAACTGTCGGGCGACAGAGCTTCATTGAAGAGCTTCATTGATGCTCTGTCGTCCCGACAGTTTTGTTCCTTCACCTGAAGAAGGCCGCTTGTGTTGTGGCCGAAACGTCGTGAGAATTTTATTGTCTTATTTTATTATTTTATTCTCATTCTACGTGACTTTACCGAAAGAACCAAAGAAGATGAATTTCATGATTCATTTACCATCTCATCTCAGACAAAACCACTTACAGAACGTCGCATTGGTCTCGGTAGAGACAGCATGCTTTGTTTTTCTCGATCTGTATTCCGTTGAAGTAGTCGGTGTCAATATGATATCTGCTAAACTGAGCAAGCGGTGCTCATGTCCTGTTTTTTTCAGCTTTTAGCAAGTGGTGGAAATTCCACATTAGTTCGGCAGGGATTATTGGGTAATCTACATAATGGATGCACTTTAAAATGTAACTTACATTGAGACTTCTTAGGAACTGACCGCCCATTGCTCCACAACTCCAACTGCGTGGCTTTTAGTGGTTGTGCTGTACGGAACACGAATGGTATTTCAGGGTTGTTACCGCGTGCTGTTCGGAACGATGTCCGACGTTTCGCTCTTACATGCCGGGCGCTCCTTCGTTCGCTCGTCGTGGGAGCTTCGTCGTTTCAGTTCCTGAAGCTCCTGACGAAGCGAACCCGTAAACGTCGGACCTAACGCCGACACAGCTCGCCGTTGAATCCGAAATAGCATCGGAAGATCTCCGACTCGGATATCTCTCACGGCGTATCTCGCGCGAATAACCTCCCCCTCACCTCCTCCCGTCTCTTCTCCTCTGTTCTCCGTGTGTTCTTCTCCATTTGCCCGCGTGGTACACAATCCTTATCGCAACATTACTCCCCTGTCCGCGCAGCTCCCGCAGGTAACAGAAAGCTTGCGACGCATTTTTGGTTGTTTGGCTCGCGCAGTGCGTGCGAGTCAAAAATCAAAACTTCGCTGCGGTTTAAAGCCACAGTGGCTCACGACGACGGATCTTCGTCTGGGTGGCTCCGCATAGATTGGGTTTACACTTCGTTTAGTGTTGTTGTCATTGTTGTTTTAACCGAGCTCTTGTTTGTCTGCGCACTGGAATCTGCTGTATTGTTGTCACACGGGTCTGCTGTGGCAAAATATGAATTTGTGAAGCGATTACATCTCGAGTACTGTCTCAGGGCCCTCCGGCTACCTCCCACACGCATAGCCACTCCTTACAAACAAAATAAACAATTGGCCAAACATCCCGACGATGGCAATAACACTCGCAATGGCATTGCTGCCGATAACATAACTGGAACGTCGTCTCGCGACGTGCAATTGAGGCTCGGGGAGCCCCATAATGGCAGCTTGTCCCCTATAGCAGGGTGTTCCTGAAAGGTCCCATTGATATAACCGCTTGCTCAACCCGAGCTATTCATACTTTGACGCTTGCATTGCCTTTGTTCCTGTTCGCCTGTTGGCGTTCTCTTGTCGCACACTGGCGGTGAGACAAGATCATGAAGAAAGATTTCTCTGGTGCAGGCCGATCCGTTTCGAGGACAATGCGAGTATATTACCAGACCATCCATAATAGAAGTTTTTTTGGGGTTAGATCGCGTAAATATATTAATGTTGTGTCATTAAACCCGCCACCACCCGACACAGCAAATTAGTAAGGTGTGTCACGTTAACAGAACATGCCAATTCGTTACTAGTACAGCACACCGGTGTGTTGTAGAACAAAGCCACAAAATTTAGAATATGTTTACGTGACAAACCTTACTAATTGGCTGTGTCGGGTGGTGGCTGGTTCAATGACACATTTATATATTTACGCGATCTAACCCAAAAAAAACCTGTATTATGGATAATATTGGTCGCGATAGCCTACATGTTAAACCAAAATCATCAGATCATGTTTGTTTGCATGTTTTTTTTCCCACAAGTATGTGTGGTTAATGCAGACTTCATGCCTTCTAATAGGTTATCTACTTGATGTTTGAACATCTTAACACCTCCATCTTTTATTACCAGAAAGGGGTAAAGCCAATTCTTGTGTTTTCCCCATAATTTTGATACAGGGAAAAATAAAGGTCCCGTAGATACATTTTTGAGACTCAGCGATATCAGCAGATTCCACTGTGTGACTGTCGATGTGTTGTAAGAATTGCTTGTTTTATTGTTGAGAGATTTGTAAAGATGCGTCATCTTTACAAGAGGCGTGGAAGAGTTTCCACTTGGAATTTTGAGTGACAGCTACTGGGGTCATCCCCTTGTCTCTGTGAGCGTTTGAGTCAGTGTGTTTATGTTCTTGAATGTTCTTCAGCCTGTGCAGGCTCAAGAATGATCGATGCGATGACTTTGAATTCTCCTTATCGCCTGATAAATTAAAACGAAAAGGCCTTCAATACGGAGATTAAATGTGGGCAAGTCCGATTTTAGAAGTAAACATCTGTTGTCCGATGATGGAAAAAATAAACCATTTGTCAGGGCAAATTCGGATAAATAGCCAAGCGAAATGTTCTCTTGAAACGGGAGAACACTCGAATGGTTGAGCTGAACGCAAAATGTCACGGAGACAATCTCACATTTGTTGCGTGAATACACACACACACGTGTGTTAGGGGATGTGCAATGCAATTCCAGTTTTCAAGAATGAGTGAATATGGCAAAAGGAGCAAATGTAGATTTTATGACGTGAAACGAAAATAGATTTGTTGAGAGAGGAGGCTCCCTTCATGGATCGGCTTTCCCAGCTTCTGTCTATGAGACCATCGCTCTACAAATGTAATAGAAATACGAGGAAGCACTCCGTCTCTAATTGGACGTACGCCGCGCACATTGGAACCGATCGGGAATGTAACCATCCCACAAGCGGCATCCTGCAATTACCGACAGAGTCATTGGATCATCTTACGACCTCCCGAACGAAAGCAACCTCCGCGTCTAATGACTTGCACCGGGTGCTTTCGAGAGGTTCTGCTTGCCCTTGCCATCAACCCGTGTTTGTTACATCTTGCGCTGAAGGCGGCGGCGGAGGACTGCTACGTCAGCAGGAGGACTGCTACGTCAGCAGGAGGACTGCTACGTCAGCAGTCCTCCTGCTGTGCGTGTTTCACACCTGATGACGGTTGCTTGTGTCGCGATAGGAAAGGTCGTGATCTATTATTTTTTCTACCTACGTGACTTTACCGAAAGAACCAAAGAGTCTAAACCCACAACGTTAACAATTCGAGGACCCTGACGAATCGCCGGTACCGTTTCAAAAGTGGAAGGGTGCCGCGTGGCTGCGAAAACGAAAGTCGCGGGCCGCGTTCGCCACCCCCCCCCCCCCCCCCCCCCCCACATTGCTGGCCGATCGCCGCACGCGTTCACGAAGCGGTGACTGTTACGCCGTTGGAAACAAAACAAAAATCAATGATACGACCCCCTGGAATAATGTAACGCACTCTAAGGGTGCACAAGTTGTCTGCGGTTGCAGTTGATGAGGAGGAGGCTGCAGGGGGGGAGGGACCTGGGACGCGATACGCAAGTGTCATTTTTAATTATTGCCCGTGAGCGAAATTTGATTCAACCGGTGGTGACTGAAGCCCCCATTGGGTGCCATACCCAGTTATTTTAGGGGGGGGGGGGTGCTCACGGTGGCGAGAGCTCTGTGAAGGAGCCCTCTTTAGGAGCCGAGCAGAGATAGTTACACGCGTCATATTCTGTGCCTCGGTTGTTTATTCGCTTGTTGCGGGACGGCCTCGACTGGGCGCCGCCATCGAAGTGTGGAATCTCTCTCAGGCGTCGCTCGGGCTTTCACGCGTGGTGTGCTTTCTCTGAGCCGACCGGTCGACGACCGGCACAAAGCCACGGAATTCGACACAGAGCCATGGAATTCGACACAAAGCCATGGAATTCGACACAAAGCCATGGAATTCGACACAAAGCCATGGAATTCGACACAAAGCCATGGAATTCCACACAATGCCATGGAATTCCACACAAAGCCATGGAATTCAACACAAAGCCATGGAATTCCACACAAACCCATGGAATTCGACACAAAGCCATGGAATTCCACACAAACCCATGGAATTCCACACAAAGCCATGGAATTCGACACAAAGCCATGGAATTCCACACAAAGCCATGGAATTCGACACAAAGCCATGGAATTCGACACAAAGCCATGGAATTCGACACATTTTCGTTAAAAGCACCGCTCAAAGAGGAGCGCAAGTAAATACAGGATGCTTCAAAAAATTTGTTAACACTTCTGAGAATTTGCAACAACAACGCCACAAGAAATGTGCTGCCGCCTCCGGGCTCTGGAGACCGCCTGAAGAAGATTCCAGGCCACGTGCTGACAATGATGGCGAACAAGTGGGGGACTCTTTGACTTTAATGAAGCTATTAACATTATATTTGTTATCACGTTACAGTCTATTGTCCGATCTTTTTCCATTAAAAACGACAGTCCCATTATAAGTGGTAAAAACACAATGGAAGCACCCTGTCTATGTATAAGGCGACGTGTTGCCGATGGCGAATGTGTTGATTTTTGTTATTTGCGCTCACGCACAGCTGCTCATGGGGTCTCGCACATTTTTTTGTTGGTGAATTTAATTGGTCAAGTTTCTCCTGGTTAAACGAGTAACTAAATGACAAATAAACGAGCAACTAAATTGTAAGTAAAAATACACTGGGCTGGCAACGAGCGTTGCTCAAAAGAGCACGGTGACACTGACAGTCTTAAAATACGGTCGTGGAAAGGTCCTCATTAATAAGTACAACATATTTTGGAAAAGATATTGAAGAAAATGAAGCAAGTGGCAGCCCCACCCCGAGGTGCTCAGCGATGGTTCAATCTAGGGAGCAATACATTCCACCCCCCCCCCCCCCCACCAATGTGTGTGTGGGGGGGGGGTGCTGGAGAAATGTCCCTGTTGAGCTTACGATGTTACAACGAAGCCGTGGATCACTGGCATTGAACAACAGCGTGTGTCTTAATCAAGCTCTGCTGTTGACTTTCATATATATATTCAGATCATGGCGATTCACGTTCATCAGTTTTCATCATCAGCCACATTTATCCACTGCTGGATGAAAGTTTCTCCAAGCCGTTGCCATCCCTAACGGTCTCTTGGTGTGACAATCTTCCTGTTGCACGCCAGCCGACTAAATCGCTCCATCCACAGGACGGTCGTATGCTGTCTAGCATCCTCTCTTCATTGGCTTGCGTGGTGATGAGAAAAAAAATGACCTGTTAAATTATGACGGCTGCAGCCGGAGGACTTCATCCAGCAGTGGATAGATGATGTCTGACAGTGTTGGATGATGGCGATGATGATTAAGAGAGACACACGTGCCTCCGTGCGTCGCCGCATGTGCTTTTGCGCACGTGGCGCTGATGGACAATGTTGCTTTGCGTTCCCCTGTCAACCTCCCTCCTGACCCTCCACCATGCTCATGGCTGCTCCACCATGACCACCAACAATCGACCACCACCACCAACCAACCAACAACATCAAACCCACACTTAGGAGATGAAGGTACAAGAGTCGTGTAACGTGTGACTGCGCGTGCGAGCGCAAGAGACGTTGCTTTACGCCGGTGATCTCGCTGTGTAACAAAAATATGTTTTTTGTTCCTGGGTAGTAAGTGTCATTTTCTAAATGCTTATGACTCAAAAGTACAGAAAATGGCTATTATTCCCCAAAAACTTTGCTTTTGTGACCAGGACAGTGATATTTTTTTATTGACCTATTTTCAATGAGAAAACGTGGTGTGCATTTGTGTCATTCCTTCACGTAAAGCCTTGGTCACAAAATAACAGAGTGATTGCAAGGCCCGCGTGCCACTGGCTGTTCCTGGTCGCCTTTAGTGCGGCCTCCGACAATACACAACATGTGAAAACGCTGCTTCGCGCTGTACACGGCAGTGCAGAAAATCTGACCGAATCGAGTTGCATCGAAACCAGAGTTTTTATTTAGACTGGAGAAATCCGATGAGCTTTAAATATTTTTTTTGTCACAATTTTTCTTTGCACAATAAGAACCCTTATACCCCGACTCAATGTGGATGTTTACGCAAATCGAACAAAAAAAAAACTACAACTAAACCTATGACCAAATCACCCCGGAGTCTGCCCGGTCTTGTCAGACGCTAAGCAGGCTTCAGCCTGGCCAGCACTCGTGTAGGCTACTGTAGGGATACGTTGTCAACAGAGGGTAGTGTAGCACAGTCCATACTTGTTGCCCTGCACTATGCTTGTGTATGGGGGGGGGGGGATAGATAACGGATCTGTGCGTGCACTTCTGTACTTACACGAGCTAACACAAGGGGCCAACACGTACGTATGAATATACTATGGATGACTAGATTTCGGATGTGCAGGTGTAAATGACACGATGCGATAATTGAATTACGCAGTGACGTCACTTTTCACGGAGGGAGGGGGGGGGAAGAAGCGGACGTGGCGTCATTTGTGACGCCAAAGTCCCCTGTGTCGTCACACCTTCGGACCAATCCAAAGCAAAAGCTCTTTTTTTCGGATCACCTGACACTTCGTGTCTGGGTACGATGTTTGGATTTATTCGAGAATTGGGAAAACGCCTGCTGTATATTTGGAGTTTACATGTCTCTCTCCCCGTGGTCGCGTGGATTTTTCTCCGGGTCCTTCGGTTTTTCTCTCCACATTTAGAATCAACGTCACGCGTTTAGAGCATTTGGCTGCTATGCATTTCCACGTGATAAGCCACTACGTTGAGCTACAATTTGTGACCAGGTCGCTTCTGAAAAAGAGCTGTAAAGTTCAGTGGGCCTTACCTGGTAAAATTAAAGTTCGTTTTGTTTGTTTGATAGTACGTGGTAGAAGAATTGCGCTTCAGTTAACGTTCACATGTCTGAAGTGTTTGTCAAACACAAACACACATGCAAACAGACTGCCAGATGTAAGGGCAGGTCACTGGGTGGTGGCGTAGCATGGTTGGCATGGGCCCTGCTCTAGGGTATGAATAGGGTCCCTCCACAGTAAAACTTCGCCGTTCTTCAGTCGTAAGGCACGCGGTGCAATTGCACTGCCTACACGCTCGATAGCTATGCCGCTGTCGCCTAACAGCAGCCTTTGTTCGAAATTGCAATCTAATGTTTCATGTTTTCTCTCAATCTCTTGCACCCTCCCTGGCCGGCAAAAGGAAAGCCCAAGCAAAAGTAAGTTCAAGTAATAGAATTGCATACGGTTGTGTCACGCGGTCTTATTGTTTGTGCCTTTTGAGCAAATTTACCGACGGAAAAATCACCATAAATGCGCCTGACCTCGTCGTATTTCGGAAGCTAAACAGGGTTGAGCTCTAGACATGGGGCTGCGAGATGGCCAGGAGATGGCAGTGTTGAGTGGCACCGCCCTCGTATGCGTGGTGGGTTTTCTCCGGGTTCTCCGTTTTTTTTTTCCCGAATGCCAAACACTCGTTCATGGAATTGGCCAAAAGTTCCAATACGAGACCCTCCCAAAAAACAGTCTTGAGACCCAGTGAGGCTTTCCTGGGTAAATTACTGGAATTACTATGATGGTGTTTATCTTATGACCCTCTGCAAACATGTGAACCGCACCCAACAGCCATGATCGATAAGAACTCAATGGTCGATACGAATTTACCAGGTTCATGTGAATACCATACAGATGTACTCATATGCCATACAGTCGACTTTTTAACCCACACATGCAGAGTCTGATAAGTAAGATTGTTTTCCTGCTCGGAGTATTTGAGGGTGAGTGCTCAAGTTTGGCATTGAGCATCGTAAATCCCAAGTTGATCTTTTTCAGAATGATTCTGGCATGGCTTCTGTGGGTGTTGGTGGACGCTCGGGTTTATTGTGTACCGTTCTCCCATTCCAGGTTTGTTGTGCCCCAGATCGTCGCTCCCAAAATCCCAGATGGAGAGAGGGTGGACTTTGACGTAAGTTGCCCAACTGTCCGAATCTCTCGCATCTCTCCCCCTTTCTCTCTCCCTCTCTCTCTGCTATGCTATACGAGAACAATGTGGATTTACGAATGGTTTAAAACACGCCGTACAGAGGCAGCCGACGATTTTATTTTATCGACAGAGGCAGATTCAGATGTCTGCAGCCTGGAATTCAGGTACTGATAGGGAGTTGACAGCACCGATGGCTTGGAAAAGGGAGTTTCAGGCTATGGGGAGAGAGCAGAAGTGAACGAGTATCGTCCCGCTGAGCGAAATGTGACTGGGGGATTCGACATAAAGTTTTGATTTATGTAGAGAATCGTGCGTGGAGGGGAGTACAGAGAGAGATGAGGGGGGAAAGGTAGGAGAGTGCGAGGAGAGCAGCATAGTGAGAGATAGGGCATTGTTGAGTCCACGGAGGATCATGAAGATGGTGAGATCTTGAAATTGATCCGGATCGGGTTGAGAGCCAGTGGAGAGATTGGAATATTGGGGCAATGTGGTCCTCATTATAGGTGTAAGTTAATATTCTGGCAGATACAGTTTTTATCATCTGGAGTTTGGAGGTGAGGGATTTCAGAAAAAAAAAACGTAGAGGAGAGCGTTCCAACGGTCGAGTTGGGATTTAATGAAGGCATGGATGAGGGTGTTTACGGCAACTGGGGTGAGGTAAAGAAATGGCTGATGTGGGAGACGCTGTGGACGTGGAGATACGAGGCCATGCAGAGTAGAGATGCCTTGTATGATCAACGACGGCTCCCAGGCCTCGCACACGCTAATCACCAGTGCCATGGCAGAGTTCAGGAGGAGCAAACGCTTATCTCAAAAGCTGCCCCCGGGTTTCTGGTCATGCCGTGCACGGCGGTTCGGGACGACTGCACACATTCGTCTGCCCCCCCCCCCCCCCCCCACCATCTCCACCCGACCGCAGGACATCCATCGCAAGCGTCTGGAGAAGGACTTCATGGAGCTGCAGGGTCTGATCGACGCACACTTCGACAACAGGAAGCAGGAGGAAGAGGAACTCATCGCCCTCAAGGAGAGAATCGTAAGGACAGCTATCAGCCATCGGCGACCGTTTTGATTTGTAAACAGAGCCTGGCATTGAAGCTGTGAGGAGAGTCGGGGGTGGGTTAATACAGGATCGCTTACCTAGACGGTGTTTCGGCCTACTCTTTCAACGCAGCCCAGGCATCTTCTTGGGAGTACCCACACCACACGTTACCTGCCAATCGACTGTGCTGCACGCATTTATGATGCTGGATGGGCAGAGGCGGGTAGGATTTAATAAACTTGTACCATTGTTTCGACTGTCGTGCCAGAAGATTGAGTTGAACCCACGACCTCTGGAGTGCAAGTCCAGTGTACTAACCATGACACCGACGGTAGCATCACAATTAGTTATGGAGGAGGACACTCCCCTTGCCTCTTGGGTTCTCACCTGGCTGAATTAAACTATAAACTAACTTTTATTTTTACCAGGTAAGGCCCACTGAGCTATGGAAGCTTTTTTTTTCCAGAAGCGACCTGGCCAAAAAATGATAGCTCAACGAATTAGCTTATCATGTGTAAATGTACAGCAGCCAAATACTCTAAACGCATGTTGATTCTAAATGTGGAGAGAAAAAGCGGACGACCCGGAGAAAATTCATGTGACCACCGGGAGAACGGGCAAACTACAAATATACAGGTGTCAGGTTCTGGATCGAACCCACGACCACCTGTATACTAGGCAAGGTAGTTAACATCTCGCCACCGTGGCACCCAATTAAATAAACTTGAACCCTGAGTTACCGTCCTGAACTGTATAACCTCTTGCCTCCGTGTCACCACCACCACTGTTGACGCCACCTCAACTTGGCGGCCCTCATCCTAATGTCGTCTCCTCCTCCTCCTGCAGGAGAAGCGCAGAACCGAGCGCTCGGATCAGCAGAGAATCCGCGCCGAGAAGGACAAGGAGCGCCAGGCTCGCATCGCTGTGAGCAACCGCACGGTTCAACCAGCCATGGCGGGGTGGCCATCTTGGTTTCGCTCGCAACAACAACAACAACGACCATTTTAATTTTGCAAGAGTTGATAATCGCAAAAGCACATTAAGACTCTTCATAAAAACACATTAGGGTAGAAGTATAGTTGACACCTGTCCAGTTTTGCAAAGATCGTCCTCTGGTACTGGGAAAATCTACAAGGCTTCTGTGGGACATTAAAAGTCACAGTTTTTTATAAGTAGGATAATATTAATAATATTACACCACTCATTACATTTAGTTTTCCACTTTTCTGGAATTGTGGGATATTCTTCTGCTCAATAAATATCAGATATGCTTTGTACCCTAGTAGGTCACAACTAAAATAATGTAAATACAAGCGTTCCCTACCCCGAATGAGAAACAAAAGTTGCCTGAGCAAGGTGGATGCTCTGTCCGTTCACGCAGGACGAGAAGGCTCGCAAGGAGGAGGACAGGGCGAGGAAGATGGCAGAGGATGACATCATGAAGAAGAAGGCCCTGTCCAACATGGGAGCAGCGTACGGTGGCTACCTGCAGAAGGCAAGTTCACTCACAGGCTCACAGCCAACCAAATACACAGATCCCCCGTGTAGCCTTAACAGATTTTTGGGACGAATGCCGTTAGCGAGCAGCACCTACGAAGGGCCGGCATGGCGCACGAGGGGGTGGGTGGTCAGCATCACGCCCGGCCGCCTTTGTCTCCCCAGTGGCGATGTTTATACACCGCAACAGGTACTCATTTGAGGCTGAGTCGACCGAGGTGAGGCCCGGAACCGGTTCAGATAATTGGCACTGGTGTTGGTGGCCATGAGCGAGAATCGAACTCGGGTTGCTGTGTTTGTAGCGCAGTGCAGTAATTACTACACTACCACTCTCCACAGCTGCCACCACCACCACAACCAGTGCCTCATACAAAAATACCCATCCCATTAACTTTGGTTGGACATTTAATTTGGCAAAGTTCCAGCTCTCAAAATTTGAAACGTAACTTTCACTCTCACACGATGAACATTAACCTCTGTAGCGGGGCAGGTGGGTGGGAAAGTGCTGCCCTACTTTATCGTGTGGACCACAGTTGACTTGACAAAATCTCAGAGGTAGTTCCGTGATATCTGTTTCCGTGGGCCGTTTTCTTATACAAAGGGTTGCACATCTCTGTCGGAGATCTGAATGCATACTCCGCCCCAAGATATGGCACCAATAGCATAACCAGGGTATAATTGGGAAAAAGACATTTTTTTAAATTCACAAATGATATGGTTATTGGAAACACAGGCTTCCGTACTGATTACCCCATTTCCACTGGACGTCCAAGCCACGCTAGCTTACGGCCCTCACGGTAGCGGGTGGCTTTCCACTGGCTTGTTTCAGAGCTGTGCCAGAACCTGACTGCGAAACTCTGGCCTCAAAAGACATCGGAATCGGGCCCAAAGTCAAGCAGGGTCAGGGGTAATAATTAGCATCGTGCGTCACGTCGGTCAGTGTGCTCGACCGTGCGATGCTGACTTCGCGCGTTCGTTCCGTGCAACGTTGGCAGCACGACGCGAGTTCTGCAGTGGACAAAAAAAGACCTGCGGCGTGCTTAGCTGGCCTGGCCTGGCACGGCCCCACGTGGCTGGGTTGTACGGGGAGGGAAAAGGGGGTGCACACGTGAACCGAAGTGTCGGTGGTGCCCCCCCCCCCCCCGCAGGCGGAGAAGGGCCGCGGTAAGAAGCAGACGGAGCGGGAGAAGAAAAAGAAGATCCTGGCCGACCGACGCAAGCCGCTCAACATCGACCACCTGGGAGAGGAAAAACTCAAGTGAGGCCAAACAACGGCGTGACGAATTCGCAGTCACGTTCACGTCGAATGTCAAGCCTCAGGACGAGACGTCGCATGGCGCGTGTGACACCTGACGTCACACGTAATGACATCATGGGAGGTGGAGTCGCCGGTTGTCGGCTGCCAGGGCACAAACGCCCATTCTGAATAATTTAGGCACTGGTTTTTATGTCTCCAGCTTTTGGGAAAAACTTGGCATAACGTGGCTGTTGTTTTTTTGTAGGGCAAGCCCGTAATTGAAACACAACTCATGCCAAAGTATAATTTGCATATTGATTGTCTTTACGAGGATTACCGTGTCCCCCTTGTTACAGACAGACGAACGGAGGATAGAAAGAGCGAATGAATGAACCTTTCGACCAGCCGTGAAAAGCATTAAAAAGACGATGGTTATAATAGAATACAATACAATTTGCATTTCTATAACATCTCTATTCCAGTCACATCCCCAGACAATTTACATACAAATACAACTTGAGAGACTTCTAAATTGTGTACAATACGAGCACTACCCACGCATTGGTGGGGGATACGCGTCCGGTGGGGGGGGTTTGTTGTGGGACTCAGAGATGTGAGCGGTGACATCGCCAACACGTTACTAACGCGCACTTGCCCGCCCACGTGCCAACCAGCAAAACTTTCATCTAAAACAAAAATATAGTTTGATATTAAAACGGATCAGTTTAACACGTAGTGGGCTTTCACGACCAATACCATCCATAATAGAGGTGTTTTGGGTTAGATCGCGTAAATATATAAATGTGTCGTTAAACCCGCCACCACCTGACACAGCCAATTAGTAAGGGTTGTCACGTAAAGAGAACGTGCCAATTCGTTACTACTACAGCACACCGGTGTGTTGGAGAGCAAATCCACACTCAGTACTCAGATTGTAAATGTTGTGGATGAAAACTGTTGACGATGATGATCGACTCCGCTAACAGGGAGAAGGCCAAGGAGCTGTGGCAGTGGCTCTACGATCTGGAGTCGGAGAAGTTTGACCTGCAGGAGAAGCTCAAGAGACAGAAATACGACGTACGTAATAAACACTGCACGCACGCACACACACGGACATGCGCGCTCACACATACATGAACATACATGGGCATGCGGACATGGACGCATGCAAAGACACGCGTGCACATACACATATACATCTGTATTGGGTTCAACTGAGTTGCACACGTAGACTCGGAGGTAGCTCATTTATTACTTCCAACACAACGGGGTAACTTTACCCCTTAACAAGACAATGACCTAGGGTGGTGACCACCCCGGCTAACTACACAGGTTATATAATAACGATAAACTTCGGATCCGGACCAACAGCATACTGCCTGGGTCCACGTGATGGAAGACTTGAAGATCAGAGATCGTAGATGAAGGGTTTCTTCCCCGGGACGGACAGCCAAGATCCCTTTGGGGACTCGGGTTCTATTCTCTCCGGCGTGGTCGACTTCGCCCCTGGCCACGCCCCTTTTCCAGAGTCTTCACGAAGAACCTCGGTTCCCATCACGTGACCCTCTGTCATTCTAACCGGTCACGTGTCCTCCCGGGTCAACCAGGCTGTCATGGCCTTACCCGACCTTCCCTTCAGGTCGACACACACCGTGCCCGCTAGGGCCGGTACTGCACCTACAGCGTGGTGACATCCAGCGGTGTCACTACACACACACCGTGCCCTCTAGGGCACACCTACAGCGTGGTGACATCCAGCCATGTCACTACACACACACCGTGCCCGCTAGGGCCGGTACTGCACCTACAGCGTGGTGACATCCAGCGGTGTCACTACACACACACCGTGCCCTCTAGGGCACACCTACAGCTGGTGACATCCAGCGGTGTCACTACACACACACCGTGCCCTCTAGGGCCGGTACTGCACCTACAGCGTGGTGACATCCAGCGGTGTCACTACACACACACCGTGCCCGCTAGGGCCGGTACTGCACCTACAGCGTGGTGACATCCAGCGGTGTCACTACACACACACCGTGCCCGCTAGGGCCGGTACTGCACCTACAGCGTGGTGACATCCAGCGGTGTCACTACACACACACCGTGCCCCTCTAGGGCACACCTACAGCTGGTGACATCCAGCGGTGTCACTACACACACACCGTGCCCGCTAGGGCCGGTACTGCACCTACAGCATGGTGACATCCAGCGGTGTCACTACACACACACCGTGCCCCTCTAGGGCACACCTACAGCGTGGTGACATCCAGCGGTGTCACTACACACACACGTGCCCTCTAGGGCACACCTACAGCTGGTGACATCCAGCGGTGTCACTACACACACACCGTGCCCTCTAGGGCCGGTACTGCATCTACAGCGTGGTGACATCCAGCGATGTCACGACACATGCATATACTTACAGACATACATACAAATAATACACATACACACAAACACTCACACCATTTGAATTACACAGGATTCAAGCACAATGCCATGTCAAGATAAGCATAGATGTATGTACATATACACATACATACATACAGACACACACACGCCACAAATACATATACCGCACGCTCATACACACTTGGACATGCGTACACGCAAGCATGAATAAACACACTTGCACACGCGTGCACACGCACACACAAAGGTCTTGTCATGTCACCTGAGTGCATTCATTAAGGTTAATTATGTCGTCTTTGTTGATGTATACATTTCTTGGGGGGCCGTCCATAAATGACGTCACGCACCTAGGGGGGGGGGGGTCAGACATTTGTGACGTGTGATGAGGGGGGGGGGGGTTTGATAAATGTGACGTCACATCAAAATGCGCTATTTTAAATAAATATAGACAACACGTTCTACTTAATTAAATAGCGGCACATTAAAAACGCACGACAATGACAATAGTTTAAAACGATTTGAAGCATGTTTTATTTCTTTTAGGGGAGGGGGGGGCAGACTTTTGTGACGTCATATTTGAGGGGGGGGTCTGACTTTTTGTGACGCCGTGTGACGATTGGGGGGGGGGGGTCAAAAATCGTCCAAAATCGCGTGACGTCATTTACGGACGGCCCCTTGTATACACATTGTTATAATGTGTCTCACCGGGTGACACATTGGTCAAGGCAAGCAACCCTTAACCTCACAACGCCAGTTACAATCCCCAATTAGTGGTCGACTCTGTCCTTCATCCCTTTCAGGCCGATAAAATATTGTATCTCTGTGTGTGGTAACTTGTCCTGTGGATATACTCATCTCTACCATAGGAATGTGGAATTTTCACGGTTGGCTCAGGGCTGATGAGATGAATCTAACCACATGCTGCTTTGAGCCAGAAACGCACTGCGATTTTTGTGTTTATGGGTTGAAACTTTGATCAGATCGCACATGATCACAGCACCTCTTTTACAATGCTCGCCCCATCTAAGCACTATACAGGCTCAATGCCTGCTTAACTTGCGAGATTTGACACGTGCGGGGTGACTTAATCATAGGCGCTTGAGTTTGGCAGAGCTCTCAATGTATTCATTTTGTTGAGCGTGAAGTAGTGGTAACACGTGTGTGTGTAGTTGGTATTCTCCCCCTGCTTTGTTTGCATGGGTTTCCGCTCGGTTGACCGTTTCCTCCCACAGTTTAAGAAACACACACACTCGAACTGGTGTTGGTCAAACATCCAACGGTTGAAAATGTACCCGCAAATGACTCACGTGGGATTATACGCAGCAGAAACATCAACGCACCCTCCTGCGAAAACGTGTCAGGACTTCTGAAAATAAAGTCTTAAGACTCTCGCGAGGCTTCTTCGGGTAAACAAGCGGAATAATAATTTAATTGGCTCGACCGAGACAGATGACTATGCCTGGCTGCAATGGCCCTCTGTCCACCGACGTGTGAAGCACATGCCGTGTTTATCTCTGAAAGAGGAATGATTTACATCCACCAAGTGTGCGACGAGAAATCACGCGCTCAGCGATCCGGCTCCCATGTTAGCGGCTCCCGGCAGAATAACGACCATTAATATTCGGAAATAACATCCCAATGCGGGATCATCCTGACGGGAGTCTTGGGATTATCATTGTTATGTCAACACAATTCAATTTGGATATATTTCATGGCTAAATGCAACTTCATCTCAATATGGTGGACAAAATAATGGGATCTGGATGACTGGGAGCTCCGAAAAGGGAAGTATATAATTTGTTTTTATTGAACAAAAATATATATTTTTCAAGGTAAGGCACAATTGCTAACATTTCATAGAGAAAGCCATGGGCAGAGGAGAACGTCTTGAGCCAGGCCTTCGACAGGCCTCATCAACATGTCACGAATCTGAAATGTGCATATGTGGCCATAATTAGGCCTTTTTAATCATGTGTGTGTGCGCATAATCTTAAAAACAGGAAAACATAACGTGGGAACGATAGCCGTGCCTAATTTCGGATCATAAACGGATAACACCTTGCAGGAAAAACAATGTATTTGTTCTAAGGCAGCTCCCATTATACAACTCATGAAGGAAAGAAGGTTTGATGTATGGTGAGAAACGGCCTCATCCTTGCTCACAAGAGTTTATCATCCCTGGCCTGGGATGTAATATTGCCACGAGCTTCCTTAAAGCAGCACATCCCCGACTGCAGTGCTCTTGCTCCTACTTCTCAGCAGAGTTTTACATTTACCGGTTGCCGTGTGACAAGGTGGTGGGGTGGTGGCGTCAGTGGTGAGCGCACCGAACGATGAATCTGGCCAACAGAGTTCGATTTCCGCCAATGGCCAACATCGGTGGCGAGTTATATCCGTACTCGTCCTGGGCACACTCATAAATTGGGGCATACCAGCATGGTGAAGTATGGTCAACCAACCCCTTATGACCGAGAGACACGAGGGTCTTTATCCAGCAGTGATTGAACAAAGGGCTGTACTGATTTATTATTTAACACGTGTGCTTTTTTGGTGACCTTACATTTGAATGAGCATTTATATATATATTTTTTAAAAATGCTATAATGGATGAACATATGTAAACACTGGAGATTAGGGTGTGGTGCCTAATGTGAAACAGCAGCAGCAACAATGAAGTGGAAATGCATTCGTGAATATAACCTTCTCTCCCGTTGTAAAAATGTTCCTCCCCAACAGATCAATACGCTGACTAATCGTTGCGATGAGCTGTCAAAGTAGTAAGTACCGTGCCACGTCCACGTGTCAGTGATGGCGTGTCAGGCATGATGCGACATCACGAGCCTCGTCTGCATGCGGAACAACGCGACTTTAAAATAAATTGCCCACGTGCATGCTCGCGATGAGCAACCATCACGCCCCGCCAGCGGTGACGGGACAGACACAGAGAGGGTGCAAGCGATCGATCACGCCAAGTGAAAGTTTGCCACAAAACAAATCTGTGACGTGAGCTCCGATTTGTTTTGGATGCCTGGGTATTGACTGCGGTGGCGACGACAACAACAAAATCCCATCTCTTTGCCTTGAGGATTGCACAGGTAAGAGCTTTGGCTCGGCGGCAAGGCAAGTAGAACGCGTCTCAACGCTTGTTGAGACGAGACACACAGAAGAAGAGCCACAGGCCGACGAGGACCCGTTGGAGTTCAGGCCAACACCCCCCCCCTCCCACCATCTGACGCCGAGAGCGAACCCGGCAAACTTAACACGCGGCGAAAATATGTGCGCGCACATTTTGATTTGTTGGTTACAGGTTAATTTGCTCAGAGCCAGAATCAGCGAGCATGAGAAGTTGTAAGTAGCGGAGCAGCAGTCTGCCAGCATCACACCCCTCCCCTCAGCACACGATCCGTATCCCCACCCAGACCCCCCCAACATTGTTCCTTAACGAACACAAACGATCCTCCCCCCCCTTCCCGTTAACGAATTGTTCTCGGTCCCCCAATTAACGATCAAACAGATTGAAGCTGTCTTGCAGTGATTTTTCTCGAAGTTATATTTGTAGTGTTTCCCCCCCCACCCCCTTCCACCCCTCCCGGAATAATCCTACTCATGATGTACTTCCACTACCACTTTTCCCTCTGCAGTATTTAATACGAGTTTGATGAGTACGGCTACATTAATGACGGCTTACGTTTGAACGAGTCCTTTTTCTACTTTGCTGTACAATTGCGCGCCTTCTTACTTCCACATTTGTCCCTGCCCCCTCCGTTTTAATGCATTCCAGAAAAGCAATACGATTTAATGTCCGCGGAGTTGTTTTATTCTTTTCCACCGTCTTCTCTCGACTAAAGCCAATATATACCCTTCACCGACATTCAAAATCTTCAGTGCAGTTCTTAAACAAAGAAAAATCCTCCGCTAACGATCACTCGGCGAAACTGCGAAGCCCCCCTTTTTTAACAAATCGTTCGGCAAAACAAACCAAAAAAAATGTTCATTTGCTAAGACAGTCGGCGCTACGTGTGAGCGTCAACACGTGCAGCCAGGTAAGTCGACTGTGCATCCACTCGTCGTAGCGTACGTGACTGACGGCCTGAAAATCGTCGATTTTTACTTTTAAACGAAAGCCCGGGGGACGTTTTTAGTCCCAGGAGGCCCAACATCGCAGTCTGGAAAGGTTAAATCATGGGGGCAACGTTGCCTCGACGGCAGTCGACGTGCCCTACACGCACGTGACGCGCCGAGTGGAATATACGTCTTCGCTGGGCTAGCGACGTTTGTCCGCGCGCGTGCTGCTTGGAACTTTGTGCTTACAGAAACGCGTGGCTAAAGGCATGGCTTGATTCCATCGAGTTTGTGTGCCTTTTAAAAAAAAATCTCGACGTGAGATTGCAAAGGGTGTTTTGTTTAATTAGATTAACGATGTATTTATTTACGAGTCCTTGCAACCCATGCATACTACGTTTAAGCACTAATGAGTCGACACCGTTACTAATGATGTGGTGTGTTGTGGGCTTGACTAACACGAAACATTGTATGTGGTTTTCACAACGTTTAATTAGATCATCTGCATTGGACTTTTCCGTGCCACAGATTTTGTTAGTGTTTTATAACAAAGACACAACACGCAGTAAAATGTTATTTGATAGCAAATGCAATTTTAATCGGTAAACAAACTAGCCTTGCGTGAAAAGAAAAGCTTACATTTTTTTATCATGTGAAAATATATTAGCATAGCCAATAGTGCGGGTAAACATCAACAGACTGGTGATCTCTGCACGGTCAAACCACCGTGAGCCCCAACACGTTAAGAGTGGCGACTGATTGCTAAATAGTCACCACCACTGATCCGCAAATCTGATGCACAGGTAACTCGCGTGGTCGAGTGTGTAAAATCCCATTACAGGTGCTCAGCACACTCCCATCGCGTAGGTTTATGAAAACACGCAAACGTGGAATTGGAAATATCCAAAAGCAGGGCACGCCTGCAAAATAAAACCAATAAACGTGCACGTCTCCATGTAAAAACACAACAATCCACCAGCTGAATGCCCCTTGTGGACTTACCGAGCAGAATTTGTTCAAACAAGTCAACCCTTCTGGACCGGGTTTAAATACTTTGTGGGTCTCATCAGCATAGTTGAGTCTTGTTGAACAAATGTGATGCACTGCCAGTCGTTACTGACAAGCGCGCCACACCTCCCGTAAGAGTGCATTGAGACTCGACACCACATTCCCGATTAAACAACACAAAAACAACGCAACAAATTCGCTATCATTCTGCAGCGTGAGTAGAATAACTCTGCGAGCGCTAATCGTGTTAGTAAAATAATAATAAAAAACACGTGACACGACCACGGAGAACCGCGCTCTCACCCACCGCACATGATTTCACGCGAGGGCCGAACACGCAGCAAAGACAAAGACCCCCCCCCCCCCCCACGGGTAGCCTTAACCGACTGTTGGGGCAAGTGCTGTTAGCGAGCACCCACGAAGGCCGGAACGGCACACGAGTAGAACACGCAGCGCGCGCGCGCACACAGACACAGTGGTCCTGACCGACGCCTTCCCCCACCCCTCCACCCCCTTCTCCCCGGCCCTGCAGCAGCAAGAAAGGAACGAAAGGGAAGAAAGTGGGCGGCCGCTGGAAGTAGGCGGCGGGCCCTGGAGCAGCGGCCCGGCCGGAGGCGGCGGAGGAGGCGGCGGTGGCATCGGCAGCGAGGCGCCTCGCCAACAACTGACAACGGCTCGACGTCTCCCCACCGTCACAACAGTCGCCCGGAAGAACAAAACCACAACAACAATAACAACAACAAAAACGAAGGAAAATCCGAGGCAGAACGGAGAGCCGGGAAAAAACCACTGCGGCGTTTTCGTCCCTTGCCATCACCCGCCCGGGGGCTGACCCACCTCACGCCGCCACCACCACCACCACCACGTGCACCATCGTCACAAACACCATTTTATTTAAGTGCGCGTCTGTCCCACCACGTGCTGTGTGGACACCCGGCGCGGTACGCTTGCGGGGCTTTGTACGCCACGCCGCTCATCGATCGTGATGTCTCGCAAATGTAGATAAACGCAAAGTAAAACTTTTATTTTTCCCTCATCCCACTGCAGTTCTTTTTTTTTTCTGCTAGGTGTTGGCTTGAATAGGATTAATAAAACTGTTACTATTCAAAGTGAGAACAAGCCGTCTGTTTTTAATGGTGAGACGATCAGCAGTCAGCCTTGTCTGTTCCCGCACCTCCAATGAGAACATTTGGCTACGTACATATACATATGTCATGCATGATACACTACACCACGGGCAATTCACTCTTGGTTAAAAGTAACTAATTAAGATTAAGAGCTTCACAGCTCAACTGGCCTTAGCCAAAACAAAGTTACTTGTATTCATGTATTATATTAGCATAATCCGGACGAGTGTTTGTGAACTCCAGTCCCCGTGTCAATTGCCGTACGTTCCATTCCCATCCAATTAAGGCAATGCACACTGCAAGCACCAGATGGTCGGTCATCACAGAAAGCTGTACGGTGCGGGTAGGGCAGTCACGATGAACAGAGTTGAGAAACTCTCCTCCACAAGTTACAATTTGAAAACAAGAAAATAACTTGCTTTGCAACGGTGTGTTAAAAGTGTATACAATGTTTAGCATTAATACAGAATTATCTAAAAATAAACTTGTGCACATCACACAAATCATCAACACTTAAGACAATCATCCACCGTAACGTTTCACAATAAAAAAAAACCCACGTTATTCCTTCTCACCTTCAACTGTACATTGCACAGTTACAATCACTCACACTATAAAAGGGACAATTGGCACATTACGATTGGCTAAATAACTACACGATCTCATCATCAAATATTTTTTCGCGCAAAATTGATTTTGTGTATGTTGCACGCAACGTGTTCAAATGAATCCTGCAGCAACGAGTGGCCGCTATATTCACCACAATCATTCCACCCTTATTTGCTTACAAGCTTCCCCCGAGTTGGGCAACTGCTGGTGGCCTCGATTGAGAACGAAACCATCGTCCCTACAACGGGAAATGTTACCCTGGCAATGGGAGCATCACATGTTCAGACAGCAATATCCCCCCCCCCCCCCCCCCCCGTCAAAATGCACAGTTATGGTTGGCACCACCATATTACAAGGGGGGGGGGGTAAATGACATCGTGACATGCTGGGTGCACGAGGGGACGGGGAAGTGGGGCTAAGGATGGGGACCAAGGTGACGTCTTAAGACGTTGAGCGGCCAACGCATCGGCATTATCTGCGCGGAGGAGCTGCGGCTGAGGGGGGGATAGGACACGCGGAAGCTTGGGGTTAACGAGCGAATGAAACGGTTTCAAATCGCTCCTGCCTATCACAACCGTTTAACCCAGGGATCGGCAACCTGCGGCTCTTTAAGAACCGCTCTGTGGCGTTATTCGTTAAGGACCACCGTCTCGTATTCACCACATTGCGGCTCTTGAATTATTGCATTTTGGTCGAAAACGACTTGTTATTTTGTTTGCCGAACCCCTGGTTTAACACAATACATCAAGTACATAGCATCTGTTGATCGAGCGATGAGCGCATTGTGCTACGAACCCAGCGACCGCACGCAGTTCTCATTCCCAGCCACTGCGAACAAAAGTGATGAGCAAGCGATATCTCAACCAGTTTTGGGCACACCACCTTCACCAAACTGCACTTGAGCAGCATGGTAGGTGAGATATGGTCAAGCAATACCCTCCATGACCAAACGGGTGTCGGAAGGCCTGCATCCAGCAGTTGATTGATAAAGGGGTGTGTATAGACACACACAGGGATATACACACGCTTATGTCAAGTTAATCCACTGCGACCTGTGTCCACAGGGATTTTGTGGGGGGGTGGGGGTGAAGTCTATTTTGCACCACCAAGGCTGCCAACTGCAGGCCCGGCCCCCCTACCCACCACTCTGGCACCCCCCAAGCTCACGACATCACTCCCCCCAACATCCCTTGCCACTGTCACCTCATGACATGGCTGCTCTTGTGCATTGGCTAAAGCCAGACGAGCCACTAGTGGGTGCGATGTTCTGAGCCTGTTAACAGTGACGTTCCTCCAAGGTGATTGGCTAATACCAAGACCACGTGTAAATACACCTCGATGCACGGACAGTGGAGGTTCCTCTAGAGGTCATACAGAACGTAGGCTGTCCTATCAGCAGCAACTAAATTGAGCCTTCTGCATAGGTACATGTAGGCTTTCTCCAGGGCGAATATATTCAGTTTGACTTGTCATGCGATGAACGTCGCTCTCATGCGGCAGGTCAGATAGGAAAGTGCTGCCTCCTGCTGTATGGGCCAAATATCATTTGAAGGGATCTCAGAGGTAGCTCTGTGATAGCCACTTCCATGGGCCATTCTCAAACGCACGGAAATCAACTAATCGAGCTGTAAACGACCACGATGTACAGTTTGTCTTTCGTCTCTAAGTGGAAAGATGACACGTGACAGAAACGCGCAGCTGCAGAGGGACTCCTCCGTACAGCCTGACCCGCCAGGAAACCTGCCCAGCCCTCGGCGATGTTGAAAACAGAACTGGGAGACCAGCCACAGCGTAGCAATTCTCTGGAGGAAGTGCATATCATTTCCTTCATGCAAGTTTGGAAATTACTCTACTGCTAATTCAGCACTTGACTTGGCACGTAAGTTAGTCAAGGCTCTTAATATGAATATTGTTTGTAAGTTGTTACATCTGTTTGTAATGCTGATGCATTTTTGGCACTTTAATTGAACCCAATGTGCAATTCCAACCCCAACAACCAAGGATGCAGATTCAAAAGTTACTTCTCGATAATTCGTGGGTAGATTAATAATACTTTCATTTTATGGAGTGCCATTCATGCTAATAGCATCCCATAACACTGTACATTAATTATATATCAGGACCAAATCCTTTCTACAGCCACTACGAAGCAAATGAAAATCCTACTACTAAGCAAAATCTAAAATGAATAAACAAATTTAGAACTGGCACCAAAACAAAAAAGCCACAAAAAAGAGTTATCACAACAAAGAAATTTGTCCAAGGGGTCTCCACATCCCAGACCACAATTCACCAACTTCCCAACCAAGCCAGGAAACTTTCACAGGCGGTGCGGAAGAGTTCCAAAAACTTGCGGGTTACGAATGAACAGTGCTTGCGAAAAATAAATAAAATATCTTCATGCACATTGATTTAATTATAAGTTGCTCCTAACTCATAGAGGGGCAGTGGCTCATTGCACACGTGACCACAAACACAAGTAAAAAAATACATTTTAAGTAAAACAAACCATTAGACACATTTTACGTCTTCATCCCCCAATCTATATAGGTAAATATCAAACATGTTAAGATAACCATGCACCAGAGTTGGCTGTAGTCTTAAATTGAACCTACATTTCAAATTACGCATTCACATTTCTTCCCCATTACATTTTCTCCCATTGCAATGACCGAAATACACACACATGGCTGTCCGTGACAATTTCCACTGCATCACTCGAACAGAAAAAAATGACAAGTAACTCACATGCGAGATGCCAGATGGAAAGAGAGAGTGAGATTCATATTGGTATGGATGCAAGGAAAACCAAGCCAATCCCAAATGAATGAGCATATTGTTGGTCCGAATCCCAACAATAGAACTCTAGACCGGGACCTGTCGTCTTGTCGACATGACGAGTCGTGTACACAACAATCGTGATAAGAGGTAATAGTCATTCACGTGAATCTTCTCCAGCGATGTCATTTTCTGCAGGAGACACCGAGCACATTCTTAGAGGCACACTGCGACACGTAGCTATCAAGTTTAAACAAATCCAAATTAGTGTGTTATATGAACATTATCCCGAAAATATTGTTTTGAAATAAAATCCAAATAGCATTAATAAAATCATAATGTATAGCTCTTTATAAATCCACTGCTGTGTAAGTGCTTCCCCATGGCCTTCAGTCATGGGGCTGGTGGACTATACTTCACCGTACTGGTCAGTACGAGCTGCTGTCGAAGAGCCATACAGATGCCACTCACCACTGATGTTAATCATGACCTGGAATAAAATTCAAGTGGCCGGGTTCATAGTGTCTTGGAAGAAATGTCTCATGAGTCACGTGTTGGTGAAGGGGATCCAGCATTGGGCCAGATATCACTCACCACCAATTTTATCCAGGGCCAGGAATCAAAGTCAGGGTGAAAGGTTCACAGCGCAAAGCGCTAACCACTGCATCACTGCTTCACCCCAACAATATATAATTGCCCTTAGCCTAGAAAAGCCTAATTGAGTCTCAAGATTTGTCTAGGCCTTCCTCGCGACAGGATAACGGGGTTCGTGAGCAGCACGTTGTCATCGTCACCTGGAGCTGCTCAGCAGAACGAGGTTTTGAGCAGCAGCGACGGTCGACTGCTCGTTCTGGCCCGTGATGACATGTCGGTCGATCACCACGTGCACGGCATCCACTTCGCTGGCTGCAGGAGCAAAGACAAAGATATCCCATATGGCCCTCACAGGTTGTTGGGGAAAGTACTGTTAGCGAGCATACGCTCGCGCATGGCCAGTTCACCATGGCTAACACACGGCGATATTGGCTGGGTGGACCAGTTGCAGAGCGATCAGCACAATGCGCAACGAACCAAAGCACATCTCGGTTAGATTTCTGGCCACTGATAACATCGATGGCGAATGATATCTGATCCGGTCCCGAGTTGGCTCTTCTCTTTGCCAACCCACACTGCCCAATGTGCTGAAGTATCTGTTGTATTTTCTACAGTCTGTTCTTCTATAACGTGGTAGTTGCATTCCTGAAGAACACTGCGTTATGGAAAAATCGCATTATGATAAATAATATTTCATATAGGGGTAAAGCACAGCCCGTGATAACACGTGAGATGTGCATGCAGGCTGAACAAAGACTGAGGCACGTGAGTAGCATCTAGAATTATCCAGCAGCATCCCGCCTTGTGTAATGCTACGCCGAGGCAGCACTACACCCGCTTATTCCTCCTCGCTCGACGTAGTTCTGTTCACTCAATCACGTTATATCCAATTCGCATCCGCGTTATAAAAAATGTGTTCCCTAATACATTCATAGCGTTATATCAAATTTACGTTATGAAAACACGTGTTATAGGACAGCAGACTGTACATGTTATTTTAACACCAACAGCAGCCCCACTATGCTCTCAGCCACTCTATTTCAATCACTAGCTGCCAAAATCACATGGTCAGCCTACCCGCACATAGCAGTGTGACGTCACAGACCTCACTTGCCTGGAAATAGTCTCAGCTCTCCTAGGTGGGATAGCCAAGTGGTTGTGGGCATGGCCTGGAGAAACTCCTAAGTAGGTGTGGCCTAATTCAGCCTCCATGGCCTTTGTCGATACAAGTGGGTAGTGTAAACTCAGCTTGTGTTGTGCACGGCTACTGGCCATGCGGTGCATTTACCGCTATAGGTGGCTCCAGATTCCTTGCAGAAGTCCTCCACAATCACAGGGAGGTTAGCAAAACCCGGTTTCCTCACCAGCTCAAACACCGACGGCTGTGTTAACAAAGACAGGAAATGATACCAGAGCACCACCAGGAAAGGTTGAGTCAACAGGAAAGCAGTTATACTTGCTAAGCTGCATATAGAGAATGACAGATAAAAGATAGCTAGATAGATGACCTTAATGTATGACCAGGAAGGAACCCATTGTACCTTGCTAAAACATGCAATCACCAGCATCAACTACGAGTCCAGAGCCATCAGCACCTACAAAACTGCTGTTACTTGTAAGCACAGCGAAAGAGCAGTGACAAAACCCTCATATGAATTGTTAGCGTTCTGCAGTTGTAGTTTGTTAGACAAAATGAAGACCGAGTTACCCCAGTGAGGCTGTAGCCACGGAACGCCCAGCCCCTGTCCTCTTTGAGTGCACAGCACAGCCCGGCGACCCCGTGTCCCACAGCACATATGGGCTCTGGTATTGAATGATGGGCAGGCAATGCATGCATGGAACACAGAGAAAAGCCTTACAGTTTCATACAATCCAAAAACTTAAGGTAGGTTACATTTTTTCACAGCACTAGGGGCTGAGAAATGCACGGCAAGCATCTCTACCAGACGTCCACCGTGAGGAGCAGTGTACCACGCACACTTTTGTTTGTGAACGAGATGTCATTCTCGCGAACATCGTGCTACATTCGTGAATGCCATGACTCTGCGTTCCCTAAGTTTCAACATGACCCTCTCGACCCGTGGGAAGAGACGAGATTCCCAATATTGCCCACACTCGAACAGGGTTGCACACCCGTGATTTGAAATAAACACTCGGGTCTCTGCGAATGGCACGAGTTGATGAATTGAGCTGGAGTTCACTTTTGACACTGCCACAAAACGTCGCCATGAAGTCACAGCTACCATGCAAAATGCGCACCCCACTCCAGCCACTTACTTTTCTCAGCGACAAAATGCTGCAGGATTTGAGCCAGGTATCCACTGTGTGCCAGGTCGCTCAAGGCGCCGAGGCTGCTGGGAAGGAAGAGGGCATTGTACCTCGCACCTAACCACACAGCAGTGAAACAGAAAAGCAATCAAATTAGGGTTTAAGTCCAAGGATCAGATGCTATCACTAGCCGCATGTGAATAACACGACATGGAATCAAAACTATATTCCACTTACAAATATGCCAAAATGTTGGCATGCAGTTTGTTTGAGCAGACATTGCTCGCTGGCAGTCCTAAGACAGTGGTGAATATTATGATGGCAGCCACAAGTGTCTCCTCTATAAGACAACCCATATTGACATCCTATGGAAAATTAATGAGCCATGTTAACCCTAACTGGAATTTAAACACACGACCTCACATCTTGAAGCTTTGCTGCTCTCGCAATCACGTTATATTCCAAAAAGGATTCTCTGTTTAGTCTTCAGAGTATTGGGGTGTTGTTAGTAAGCATATATTAAGTCCGGAAAAGCGCACAAAAGGGTGGTGTGATCAGTATTAAGCCCTGCTGCCTGTGAACCCCCAATGCTGATGTTTACACACCACACCAGGAACTCTTTTAAGCCTGGGTCGACCTACGGGAGGACAAGGATTGGTTCAGGTACCACATGCCACTGATTTTCAGCCAAAGCCAGGAATCAAACTTTGGAGTCAGGTTCGTAGTGCATTGCACTAACTACAAAGACAAAGATCCCCTGTATAGCCTTAACAGACTGTAGGGGCAGGTGCTGTTAGCGAACACCTATGAAGGCCGGCATGGCACGCGAGGGGGTGAGTGGCCAGCAACCTTGCCTGGCCGCCTTTGTTTCCCTAGTGGCAATATTTACATACTGCACCAGGTACTCATTTGAGGCTGAGTCGACCTAGGGGGTGCCCAGAACCAGTTCAGATAATCGTCACTGGTGTTGGCCGTGAGCGGGAATTAAACGAAGGTCACCGGGTTCGTAGCGCAGCGCGTTAACCACGACACTGCCACTCCCCCCCACTAACTACTGCACAAGCGCACTACCCATCCCAATGAACACACACACTCTATGGGTAATGCTATACGTTATGCTTAGAGGTCACTGTGTACCGTCGACGGACTCCAGGCGGAGTGGGGTGGATTGCGGTTTTGTGCAGAAGTCCTGCAGCCAACGAAGAGAAGCCTCATCCTGATGGACAAACTCTGGCAGCTTTCCCTGCGAAAGGCAAGCATGCGCCAGCCCAGAGACGCCCACAACATGTGAGACACATACATACACATAATAAGTAAAAAAATGTTCTTCATCCAGGAAAGCTTTATTTGAGCCTCAAACCTGAGGGGCGAGTATCGGGATGCTTGGCCTACATTGGAGTTCTAGATTTAAAGCTTTCGTGACTGCAAGGATCCATACTCTTCGGTTCTATTCGGTAAAGTCACGTAGGTAAAAAATAAAACAACAAAAATCACGACGTTTCGTTGTGTTGTGGCCGAAACGACGTTTCGTTGTGTTGTGGCCGAAACGTCGTGATTTTTGTTGTTTTATTTTTTACCTACGTGACTCTACATTGGAGTTATAATTTATAAGTGTCTGGCTCTGTGTGTGAGGAAGCCAAAGCACCTGGAGGAAGCCCACAATACAATACGTGAAACTCAAAGCATGGAACAGTTAAGAATTATGCAGGATTGAGGTTGGATAGTACTTAGATGAGTGACCACCAAAAACTAAAAACAGGTGTAATAAGTGTCGTGGGTAGTGCAGGGCATCTACTGTTGTAGTTCTGTACTCTCCCCAAATGTACCAACCAGCACTGATCAGTATGATTAAGTACGGTCAAATAACCCTCACTGCCTGCATGATCTGACGCGGCCTTAATCAAAGGCAAGGATGCAGATATGAAGACATGTCACACTCACCCCAGGTGTGGCAATATGCAGCGTAAACGCAGAGCTGCACAGGGTGTACGACTGGACAAAGGACTGCGCAGACACACCTGCGTGGAGAGGGCATTGCACAGTTATAATTAAACGATTTTCATCATATTTTATCCAGTGACAAATGTTATCAGTGGTTCTCAACCTATTTCTCCCTGCAATATAGAGTGCGCCATGTTGAACCACATCTACTCGGAAACCATGCACGTTAACCACGTATTTTACACAGGTTTCCGTCGCTGTATGCGGTAGTAGTAGATGCGTTCCAAAAAAAAATCGCACGCGAAGTGAAACCGCACGAGAAGAGACATGCCTGCCGAAAAGCGCGTACAGAATCCAATGCTGCCCCCACGTCAGCCCGCATAGCCACATACGAGTGAACTCAAACCGCATAGAGTGAATTTTGGGTATACATAGGCAAGCCGCATAAACACGAAATTGCACCCGCATCAAGCGAGGCCAACCTGTGTTCCAATAAGAAGGTCATATCCGGGTACAGTACAGGTTTTTTTTTTACTTTACTGTGAAATCTCTCATCACTCACACACACACTTCGTTGTGGGTGACAGTTTCATCTCACTACGTGTTTGCAAGACGCGCAAGTTTGATCTTTTTAATTTACCATGTCAATATTTTAGGTGTTTACAAAACACTGGCAGAGGACCAATTGAATGCAGTACTTCTAAAGCAAGAATTAAAAAAATGTGCGTACAAGATTGGACCATATTTTAAAAAAAACATTGGTGCAATAAATCAAAGTCTAAAACAGTCTTAACTTAACCAACTTGCTGATGAAAAAACCTTTGGCACATGCTAATAACGCAGCCAGTCTCGTTACGTAGGATTTCGCGACCAATATCATCCAAAATAATAATACAGGTTTTTGTGTTAGATCGCGTAAATATATAAATGTGTCGTTAAATTGTATTTTTAAGAGAAGCAAGAAAAGGCACATACTTATCTTGTAAATAAGTTCCTATGCCGCGTCTCGGTCCTTAAGACATGAATTTAAACGAGTGTGAGACAGTCCGGGACCCACAACTAATAATATATCTACATGGTAACAGCTATACGGTCACGTCTTACTTTAAAACAACTTTTAAACCAAACGCCGGGGAAGAGGGTCCCAGAGCAACTCGGTTTGGCCGAAAAGAGTTGCGGCCGGCCCGGCAAGAAAACTAGTCGAGCTCGGCAAGCACTTCACGGGACTAGGCCTAATCGATTTTAAAGCATCGCAACGCATGGCCAATTATCTGACGATCTCTTCTGAGCATAAAAAACACACATTAACCCCCCCCCCCCCCCAAAATCGTCTGCCAAATATTAATTCCATTTTACCTTCAGCCGCAGAACTGAGCGCGAAGAGGCACGCCGGCTTGGAGCTCATTGCCGCAACGTTGAAGGGGATCGCAGAGGCACACGCCGCCGTCCTTGCACGTGATTGGTCGTGGCGCAATCGCGTGGGTGGGGGGGATTGGGGGGGGGGCGCTCTCGACCAATCAACGGAACCGCAGAAAGAAAAATTGCCGTGGCCGCAGTTTGGTTCAAACAAAAAATGGCGCGGTTTTGGCTGAAATAAAAAAAAAACTGAATATTATTTGTAAATCGCTAAAATTGCTCTCAGACGGAATATTTGATACAACGCAAGCACCAATAATAAACACACATGCCCGTATGAACCCAATGAGCCACGACTGATGAGAGTAGACTTTAAAACACCCCGTCAATTAAGATAAGATAGAACAGGCTCATACGTTTTCAAACTACGCACCGAAATGTGCACAAATCGCAGCCTTTGCGCATGATGCAAACATCATAAACAGTTCCTGAATGCATTTCTTTGGAACTGTGGTTGGGTTTTGCATAAAGCCATAAACATAACAGTTGTCGAAGAACAATGCCGTTCCTTAACGATGCACTTGTTTAGGAATTGGGTTTTGCTTACTGCATAAAAGCTGCGTGCTTTTTATGCACATCAAAACGTATGTGTGTTTGTACTATTTTTAATGATTATTTATTGAAGGGTATATGGAGCGGTGGCGCAGTGGTTAGCACACTACACTATGAACACTGCGTCCGGAGTTTGATTACGGGCTCAATTACGGGTCACGGCTTAACATCAGCGACGATTAATATCTGTACCGGCCCTTGCCATCCAAATAATATTCTATTATTGCGTATTGCAATATGTTCGGGAGCTAAATGCCAATGTCGAGGTCTGTTAGCCACGAGAAGAATTTGAGGAGAGAGTTAGACCAGTTGTTGCTGGTCTTGCATTGAAGGAACACCCAAACCGCCAACCCTTACTGACCCGCTTGGTGAAATATGGTCAAACACAGGAAAGACGCATCATTCAAGTGGTTTCAAAAAAGAGCTGAACGCGTAAAGACTCGGTACGAACGCCAGGTGTCGTGGCGACTCTTCCAATGACTCAAGCACGTGGGCCACGCCACATTTTACAAGCTTCCACTGCGCATTTCGCATTTGCACGGCTCAAGTTAGGGCGAATGACTGATTTAATTAAATCTTGCACTCGTGTTGGCTAATACGGTATTCACTTGCATGTGGAACGTGTTTCCGATTACACTTTCATAAGTCTCGCACGCCTGTTGTGTGCAGAATGGTTTGGTAGAATTGTCCTTTGTATGGCGAGGGTGCAGTGTGATGGCGCAATAGTTAGGGCACTTTGGTGGATAGTATTAAGCCCCTGGAAAAGATGGTATAACTGCGGACATCATCAAAGAAGCAGACTCCGGCCATGGGAACAAAATTAGCGGATTGTTTTTTTATGCTTACACGGAAATGTAATAGCTCAATTACGTGATGACTCTGCAATCAATCTTATTTAAAAAAAAAACCGGAGAATAGAACAGACTAACTTTGATAATTACATATCCATTGTCTTCCTATCTCACGTACTGTTCACGAATGTTATTGGGTACACATTAATTCTATACTGACCTATAACAGCAATATCTTCAGGATCTAAATGGCAATATCGAGGTGGGATAGCCATGAGAGGGCTTCAGGAGAGTGTTCATGTAGGTTTGCTATTGCCCCATTGAAGGAGTGCAGACTCTTTCAATGGCCACAGTCGCAGTACTAAGGCTTTTATTTCATTTTCCCTTGACAAATGAGATATGTGTATCGGCCTGTTGATGTTCTGATACAGTTGATGGTTCCACTAGTGTCTTCGAGGAATGTGAAAGCCAGGAGAAGCGATGTTTTGGCCCCGAATGAGACGTTTATTATAGACGCCCGAATTGTTTCCATTCTGTTCGCATAACAGCGTTCCTCCGGATCGGGTTGAGATTTTAGGATGGTGACAGCACGTAGTAATTTATCTTATCATACATTTAAATAGCGTCTTAACCAAGGCGCGGTACAGTGAACTAACTATGGTACAAGATGGTTGGCGAGATGAAACGAGACGAGTGTATTGGATATACGTAAAATTACGTTGTTGTGACGATGCGTTGATTTACATTTGAGAGGGCCGATCAACCACGTGTATACGCCAGATTTAGCAACGGTGTTTTTTGTTTGTTCATGGTGGCTTGATAACTACCATGAACAAAGTTGAGTGTGCGGGTATGCGTTTTCCATTGAGCACGAGCGCCTGGGTATTATAACAATGTTGTGCAATGTAACATTCTTTCGCACAAACACAGAACAACATAACTGTGATTTACGGTGGAACATGCATATGGTGCTTTTTAAAAACAAATGTGCAGCTGCTTGTTTGAAAGCTAACGCCCTTGAAATCAGAAGGGAAAAAATAATTCATTTGCAACTGCTCGTATTGCCTAATAGTTTTCAGGAAACGAGAAAAACGGATGAAATAATAGTCACGTCTAAAATAATAATGACAGTTAATTTACAGTGCTTTGCCAATCCACGCTGCTGGATTCATGTGATGTAAAGTATACGAAAGTAAATAGCCTTGGTTGTGTAATGGTTATTATCACACTGGCCTTGCAATCCAGAGGTCGCCAGTCCAATATCCCACGGCGCCGGTGGTTGCAGCAATTGGAAAGTTTTTTTTTTAAAGTCCCCCCCACGCCGCCACACGCGCGCCACAGTGACTTCTGTCACTGTAAGATGCCATTGCAGTGGCGGTTTAGTATAGTCTAGTTTATATTTTCATTTGTTACACGGATGGTCCAGTTCAGCCAGTTTCCCGGCTATTTTACACGGGAGATCCGTGATGCGTTAGTACCACAGCAGCAACAAAAACAAAACACACAAAAACATCACCCCATCACTATTGCCGAGTACGAGTACAGAAGCGACACGTTTAAAACAAGCAATGTTGCCGGGTAGAACATGGTCCCGTCGAGAACCTGACATGTACGGCTTAGATGCTTGCAGTAAGGAATCCAGAGAGTTTGACAAAAGCCCCCCTCCCCTTGCCGTACACTGCAGCAGGATGGCGGTGGTTGTCGTCTGATGCACGCGCCAGAATTCAGCAATGATCCAATCGCTCAGACACGCCGGGGCTCTTGGGGTTGCTCACAAGACTTTTATTTGGGCCTCAAAGTACACGGGGTACGTAGCAAGGCATTTTTTTTGGCAATTTCTCCATCTCTGTTGAATGATGGCCTCACGGCTCTCTTTGCGGGTCATGGAGGATTATTTGATCGTAGTTCGCCACCCTGGTCTGTGCGGATTGGTGAACGGTTGTGCTCAAGACCAGTTCAGATTTCACTTCGTCGGGTTCATAACGCAATGCAGTGGTAACACATTGCGTTATGAACCACCACCGCTCCGGCTCATCACAGGCGATGTTGTCTATCTGTTGAGCGAGGTGACATAGGCGAAATTTTCCACAGCCCTTTGACTCATGATCTTTTAATGTGTTTATTTTACCCAGGAAAGACTCACTCGCATATGAGGATCAACTCTTTTTTTTCGGCGGGACCGGCTAAGGCTTGCAGTAGAGGGCGATGTTGCATACACACGCCAACCCAATCACACTAAACACAAGACCCCCGGTGGAGACTTTAACAAACTGGGCAATTGCTGTTAGGGAGCCCCTATTAGTGCCTGAACGGCACACGATGGAGTATGTGGCCAACACCACACCCGACCGCCTTTGTTTCTCTAGCGGCGGTGTTTACACACTGCATCAGGTACTCATTCGAGGCTGATTCGACCTAGGGGAATCCCAGGACCGTTTCAGATCATCGTCACTGGTGTCGGTCGTGAGCCAACACCACGACAAACGCACACCTGTACGCACACACGTGCTTCAATGCTGTACTCTCTTTTGCTTTTGACATTTAGGTGACTCAGGCCACTCTTGAAAATTATATATCCTGGTCTCTTGAGTTCCTACCTGGTTTCACAAAATAGACTTAACTTGACACGCATAGTCATATTCACTCCTGATTTGGTTATTTGACTCGGTGGCATGTGATAAGCAAAAACAATAACTGGCTCAATCGGTCGCGATTGCGCCAGCGCGCTGCGACTGATTGCATGGTGCAATAACGACGCGACGCTCTGCCAATAGTGGTGCGATCGATCGCCCTCGATACGATTGTACCAACATTACACAGTTTATACATAGGCCTTAAAGGTCAAAACTAAATGAATAACGAAGTTTGACCGTGCAGGTATCAGTATTTATCATCAGTGCCCTCTAAAATATCCAGTAAATCTCCCACAGCAGCATTCCGAGAGATACAGTACGTTCATGTAGACAGGCTTCATAGTAAACTATAATATTTATAATTATCAGCCATGATCGATCCACTGCTGGATGAGGGCATCCCAAAACTGCTGCCCACCTCTCACAAACGTGTGATGCAACAAGCATCAATCGAGCACATGAACGGATTTCATTGATCCATATCCTCAGTGGACGTCCTCTCGGATGCATTCCATTCTCTGGCTGCCACTCCATTATTATTATATATTCCACGGTTTTATTATTACAGAGAGATATATATATATAAACATTTCAATGGATTGACATTCATTCAAAACGTCGTCTGTTTATTACAGGGGAAGGCAACCTGTGACTCCAGAGCCAAATGCGGCTCATTGAGGACTGCATCATGGCGTTGTTCGCCACGTGCATCACAGCTCTTGAAATATAAAGTTTGTTTTTTACCGAATTCGAAAAAAATGTATCTTCTTAATATGTTGTTTGCCGACCTCTGGTTTAGTATAGAATATAAACTCGACAGAGAGTTTAATAACTTGTTTCTTCAATAGTTTTTAAAAAATACGGACTCTTTTAAATTCCATTTATGTTAACATTTCTACACACTGTTATTTGCATAAAGCAAACCGAAGCTATATTCTTGGTTCTTTCGGTAAAGTCACGTAGAAGGGAAACAATAAAATAATACAAATATAAAACAATAAAATTATCACGACGTTTCGACTGCAACACAAGCAATCACCATCAGGTGTGAAAACCACAGCAAGAAATTTTGAAAAAAAAAAAAATCAAAATTCAAACCGAAGCTGTTAATATGTTTTAATGTTCCAGATATTGCACAATTTCTAACTGGTTAGTATTGGCTCACAACTCTGATTTGCGGTCTTAAGACGCAGGCAGTGCTTAATTTCAGGCGGAACAGTCCGGAACTCTGTTCTGGCAATTATTCTGGCACGACATATCCATCTCGCATTATTTTGTCCTCGTAACCCGTACTTTGTCCTCACATCATTTTAGAAATATAGGGTAT